ACTACTACGACTACTACTACTACTACTACTACTACGACTACTACTACTACTACTACTACTACTACTACTACTACTACTACTACTACTGCTGCTGCTGCTGCTACTGCTACTGCTAGTGTTACTACTACGGCTGCTACTACTACTACTACTACTACTACTACTAACTACTACTACTACTACTACCACCAACTACTAGTACTACTACTACTACTACTACTACTACTACTACTACTACTACTGCTACTACTACTACTACTACTACTACTACTACTACTACTACTACTACTACTACTACTACTACTACTACTACGACTACGACTACGACTACGACTACTACTACTACTACTACTACTACTACTACTACTACTACTACTACTACTGGGTCGGTGTTTTCGATTGGCCCCGCCCTGTTCTCTTTCATGAGGGGTGTGTGGCTCCACTGTCTGACCGATGCCAACATCAATCCCTCCCCTCCCCCCTGTCTTCGCGTCGTTCGCCCGCCCCGTGGTCGCCTCTGTTGCACCCTCCTGCCCTTCCCCCATTTGCTCGTTTTTACCCGCTCTTGGCATCGTTCCCACGTGTGCACGCTTTCCTCGGCGAGGACCATTGAGGAGCATGTTGCTTGGACCAGTTTCGAACTTACCCTGGCGACGTACCCAACCCCTGCGCAAAAAGCAGGGCGCAATTAGTTTAGGATACTTCCTATAAGGGGGCGATGACGGAGCGAGGGTTACATATGTCTGCAGACGGAATTCGGGAGACTCGCAGGACACTGGCTACAGGAAAAAGGCTTGATAAAGCTGATGAATTACAATTCCTGGGCACTCCTAGCCACTTCGAAAACGGTGATCACAGCAGGCCTCGAAAGTGGCGACAGTTTCACAGATCGCAGCCCCGCAGGGATGGCGAGGTCTAATTTGGGTCCGCGCGTGGCGTCACTGTGCTGGGCCCCCCCAGCAGGCCTCGAAAGTAGCGACAGTTTCGCATATCGCAGCCTCCAGGGGATGGCGAGGTCTCATTTGAATCTGCCCGTGGCGTCACTGCGCTGGGCCCCCCAGCAGGCCCCGAAAGTGGCGACAGTTTCACAGATCGCAGCCCCCAAGGGATGGCGAGGTCTCGTTTGAATATGCCCGTGGCGTAACTGTGCAGGGCCCCCCAGCAGGCCTCGAAAGTGGCGACGGTTTCACAGATCGCAGCCCCCCCAGAGATGGCGAAGTCTAATTTGAATCCGCGCGTGGCCCTCACTGCGCTGGGCCCCCCAGCAGGCCTCGAAAATGGCGACAGTTTCACAGACCGCAGCCCCCCAGGGATGGCGAGGTCTCATTTGAATCTGCCCGTGGCGTCACTGCGCTGGGCCCCCCAGCAGGCCTCGAAAGAGGCGGCAGTTTCACTGATCCCCCCCCCCCCAGGGATGGCGAGGTCTCATTTGAATCTGCCCGTGGCCCTCACTGCGTTGGGCCCCCCCAGCAGGCCTCGAAAATGGCGACAGTTTCACGGATCGCACCACCCCAGGGATGGCGAGGTCTCATTTGAATCTGCCCGTGGCGTCACTGTGCTGGGCCCCCCAGCAGGCCTCGAAAGAAGCGACAGTTTCACAGATCCCCCCCCCAGGGACGGCGAGGTCTCATTTGAATCTGCCCGTGGCCCTCACTGTGCTGGGCCCCCCAGCAGGCCTCGAAAGAGGCGGCAGTTTCACAGATCGCACCACCCCAGGGATGGCGAGGTCTCATTTGAATCTGCCCGTGGCCCTCACTGCGCTGGGCCCCCCAGCAGGCCTCGAAAATGGCGACAGTTTCACAGATCGCAGCCCCCCCAGAGATGGCGAGGTCTAATTTGAATCCGCGCGTCGCCCCCAGTGTGCTGGGCCCCCCTAGCAGGCCTCGAAAATGGCGACAGTTTCACAGATCGCAGCCCCCCAGGGATGGCGAGGTCTCATTTGAATCTGCCCGTGGCGTCACTGTGTTGGGCCCCCCAGCAGGCTTCGAAAATGGCGACAGTTTCACAGATCGCCGCCCCCCAGGGATGGCGAGGTTTAATTTGAATATGCGCGTCGCCCTCACTGTGCTGGGCCCCCCAGCAGGCCTCGAAAATGGCGACAGTTTCACAGATCGCAGCCCCGCAGGGATGGCGAGGTCTAATTTGAATCTGCGCGTCGCCCTCACTGTGCTGGGCCCCCCAGCAGGCCTCGAAAATGGCGACAGCTTCACCGATCGCAGCCCCCCGCAGGCAAGACAGGAAGAGGCAGGGAGGGAGGAGGAGGAGGAAGGAAGGAGTGGAGACCACACTGCTCTATTCAAAACGAATACCCAACCAAGGAGGGCTGGGAAAAAGAAGCACGAAGTCGAAACATACGCAGGACCTGGACGCCCGAGCGATGGCAAGTTCTCTTGTTGTGGTATTCTCGCTTGCCCCCCTTTCTTCGCTGTGCCCCAGGCGCAAGCAACAAACACGACACGTCATAGCGCGAGGCGGCGTGCCGACCAATGCCTCCCGTGCCTAGGCGTGCCCCGCGCACCACGTCGACGACCCGAGCGGCTTCGACTTTCGCAGCACCCTCGAGGCTCGGAGGGGGTCTGCGCCTGCCTGGTCCCTTCTCTGTGGTCGAGCTGCCCCCCCCCCCTCTGCCCTCATTCTCTCCCTCCTCGTCCTCATCATCATCATCCTCCTCCCCCAGGTTTCCTGACTACCTTTCTTCGCCCGCCACTCCTTCCTCCGCCTTCCTCTCTATTCCGCCGTTTCCGTTCCATCCCCCTCGAGAGCCCCCAAGAGTTGGTGGCACTCTTGGGAACGCTCTTGGGTTTTTTTTTGCATCGGTTCGAAGGCTTCTTCGGCCATCTTGGGAGTCTTGGACCGATCGTGTAGCGATTCGAGGCACCCTTGCACCGTCTGGTCGGCTTCTTGGGAGGTCTCTTGGCCCGTCTTGGGGCCCGCCTGTCTCTGTGATATAGGTGCTCCGATCGGTCCAGGTGCCACACATTGAGCTAGCGTGTTGTGCTAAGTGTATCTTCCGTAGTCGTGTTGGCACAAAGGGGTATTGTGCGCGGTGGAGGTGTTTCTATTAGCCCTGTCAGATTGCGTGCAACGCAAAAGGTGTCCTATCCTCTCTGTCCGCTGCGCGGGACCCCGCCATGTCCAACAGTTGGTAGCGGAGCCGTGGGGCCAGTACGCGGTGCGCCGGGACGGCGCGCTGACAAGGCTAGACGATCCGAGACTGTGGGCGATGCCCGCAGAAGGCGGGGATGAGGCAGCGACAGAGAGACCGCAAGACACTGCACGCGAGGGCGCACGTCAACAGTTTTTCCAGACAGCATCATCGGGTTCAGGAGAACCCGCAGCATCAGCAGTAGTGACGCAGGCGGCACAACAGATAGCAACGGAGCTCGGGAGTATTCTCAGGCAGCAGTTCGAGGTGCTGAGGGAACAGGCTCAGGGAGACTATCAGCGGAGGCCGCCAGCTGAATTCGAAGACCGACAGAAGGACGGTCTAGATAGAGAGAGCGATCCATGGGACCGCTCACGGCATCAGTGGAGATGGGAAGATACGAGAGATCAGAGCTGGTCGAGACAGGACTGGCAAGAAGATAGATGGAGTTCATGGGAGAACTACAATAAGACAGACACGCGCATGATCAGGGGCGACTTTTCGGATCCGCCCGAGTTTCCAGGCTGGGACAGATTCCGGTCGTGGAGAGACGAGCTGAGAAGATGGGCAGATTGCACCGACATCCCGGCCAGGAAGCACGCCGACAGGGTACTCAAGAACATGAAGTGGGAGCTCAAGGACTCGCTGGGCCACTTCCAGTCCAGCGACCTGGTGTGTGACGAGGGCCTGAACAACCTGCTGGCCCGGATGGCGGCGCTAGTGGGAGAGAAGGAAGGAGACGAAGAACGACGGGCATTGAGAGAATCGGTGTTCGAGTATGAACGCCACAAGTCGGAGACACTTACCCAGTTTGTAGAGCGACGCGCTCGGCAGTTTGCAGCTGCTGAACGCCATGGCATCGTGCTGCCCAGCAAGCTCAAAGGCATGCTGATGGAAGAGGGCAGCGCGCTGCCCGAGAACGGCATGTTGTCCCTGCGATCCATGACGCAGGCATCCCTCGAGGTCGACAGGATATCTCACGCATTGCGACAGCTGGACACCACATCATCGGAGAGACTCGTCGGCCCGTCAGCCCGGTCGCGGACACACTATGCGACAGAGCACGAGGGGGGGCCCTTGACTGCGGCAGCCCTGGACGACGACGACGAGGGGTTCGACTCGGACGAGGAGCAGGAGATCTACCTGGAGGTGGAGGACGCCGGCATCGACGAGGACCAGCTCGAGGTGTTCCTGGAGGCAGCCATCCAGAAGAAGAAGACCTTCCGCGAGAACAAGATGCTGAAGGCCGCCATCAAGAAGGATCGACAGTTCTTCGACTCGAAGCACGACCCGAAGCGAGAAGGAGGCCGACCACGTCGTAGAGAGAGGCTGTCGGTGGAGAAGCTGAAGCTCATCACGAAGTGTGCGAACTGTGGAGAGAAGGGGCGCTGGAAAAAGGAGCGCCGCAACCCGTACAAGCCTCGCGAGAGCAACACCAAGAAGGTCACCATGTTCCACTACGGAGAGGACGGAGCCGGACTGTCGAGCTACCCATGCTGGCTGGTGCTCCTGTCCGTGAAGGCAGGGACGGCGCTGGTGGACAGCGCTGCAGCGCAGGCCGTCATGGGCATGCCGTCCCTGTGCCAGCTGGAGCAGCACTTCCTCGGGCTCGGCCTCAGGACGGTGTGGGTGCCGCGCCAGGTCCCAGCTCCGACCGGGATCGGAGGGCGCGCCACCCTTGTCGGCGCTGTGCTTGTGCCTACAGCGCTTGCAGGGTCCCGTGGCGTGATCGAGTTTGTCGTCGTGGCAGAGGACATCCCTCCGCTGCTTCCTGGGGGCCTGCTGAAGGCCCTCGGAGCCGAGATCAGCTACGTGAACGAGGAGATCAAGTTCCAGTCCCTGAGCAGCGACCCGGTCAAGATGATCACCTACGGCGAGCATCGAGGCATTCCCCTGGTGTCCGCCCACAGCATGAAGGGATTCTCAGCCCCGACGAGCACGCAGGACAGGTTTCCGTTCCTGAAGGCAGACGTGTTTTCGACCCAGGCGCCCTTGCCGGTCGAGTCTGCGAGTACTGAGCAGGCGCTGCAGCTCGGACCTACCGAGCAGGAGTACCGGGCCATCCGGGCCCAGAGTGCAGCCGCGAGGGGATACACGTCTCCATCCTCCCCTCCCGCCTTCCACCAGGACCCAGGACCAGGGCGAGAGGAGGTCGAGGAGGTAGAGGAGGCCGAGGAGGTAGAGGAGGAGAAAGAAAGCAGAGGAGAGGAGTCAGGACGCACACCAGTCCAGCCAGAAGGTGATCCCTGGAGCTCTCCGTTGTTTCTGGAGCTCAAGCCATCCGGCGTTGCGATATCCCTGTCTCCCTCCACTTGCCAGAATCGTGGACCCGAGAGCGCCCGACATGACGGTGGATGCGCACGTAGCTGCCCAGAAGAGGGACGAGAGGGTGTATATGTGGGGCTCCCTGGTGCAGATGAGTGTGCAGCAGATCCGCAAGATCCAGAAGGCATGCCTCCAGATCGCCATTGCGGGACACTTGTTTGTAGGGAAGTACAAGAACAGGGAGCTCATCCAGCGGTGGACGTCCTGCATGCATCCCAGGCTGACCTGGGACGGAGGGGACTTGAAGTCCTCATGGGAGAGCGGCGGCAACGGGACGGCCACGTACACCAAGTGCAAGCAGTGCGGCATGAGGCTGCTGTACGAGTTGCGCAGTGGAGGGATCAACCCGAAGGGCGCGCCGGCCAGGATCAAGAAGAGCATGACCTACAAGCCAGAGAGCAAGGTGAAGAACGAGAACGGCATGGATTCGAACCCAGGGGTGTGCGTCGCCTACGAGAGTCCACTCGAAGCTCCGGTGCGTCCTCCTCGTCCGGAGCCGCGCCTCACCGAGGACATGCCGAGGCAGATGGTGGCCGACGCCGTGCAGCCCGTGGCAGGGGCGCTGCAACAGCAGCAGGAGACGACGAACCAGATGATCACGCAGGCGGTGCAGCCGCTGGGCCAGGCGGTGCAGCAGCAGCACCAGGCCATCTACCAGCTGGCGGCGACGGTTCACATGATGCAGACGCCCGCGGCCTCGATACCAGTGCCTGTGGAGGCGGAGAACCCAGTGGGCTGGGAGCAGATCGGCGAGGAGGATCCCGAGGTGATCCCGGGGCCCGAGCAGATTTGAGGCTCCGCGTCCTGACGGGCGCCGAAGCGCAGCAGTTCGGCAGCCAGGCCAGCGTGGTACTGACTGGGTCCTCCTGCGCCCTGGCATGGAGGAGGCCCCCCAACGCTCAGCGAATCAGCAGAGCGTTCAGCATGTGGCTGAAGAACGACAGCGGCTGGCACCCAGTCAGCTCCGTGACCCGGATGAAATGGCACACATCTCTCGTGACATGCCGCAGTTCCCGATACCTCACGAGTCCCGCCTTCGTGATTGCCGACGCGATGCGAGGTATAGAGGAGGAGGAGGCAGGCGGCGGCAGCACAGGCAGAGGAGGAGGAGGAGGGCGAGGGGCGCTGCGAGCCGACTTCGACATCCCGGTAGCCATAGCCCTGGAAAACGACGACCTGGTCTCGTTCCTCGAAGGTTCCGAGCACAGCGACGATCGCGAGGTCACGGTGCCCCGAGGAGTGAGGGGCCAGGCGAGAGCACTGGCGTTTGCCGCAGAAGCCCGAGCAAGCTCCGGGAGCCGCCCAGGAGAAGGAGGAGGAGGAGGCCAGGATCAGGTTTCAGCCCTCACCAACCCGTGCCCGTATGTCGAGTTGTTCAGTCCCCCTCGGGTCGCTCCCATCGTGGACAAGATCATGAGGAAAGGAGGTGTGAGGACATCGTGCGTCTCCTGGGACCTGGACACCGGATGGGATTTCAGGAAGGCAGAGGACAGGAGGAGGCTGAGGCGAGAACTCCGGGAGCGCGAACCCTGGCTGGTAGGCATGTCTCCTCCCTGCACTCAGTTCTCCACCCTGAGCTATGTCAACGAGGGGAGACAGGAGGAGGAGGAGCTGAGGAGGAAGAGGGCCGAGGCACTCGTGCTGATGGGATTTGCGATCGAGGTAGCAGCCACGCAGGTCGAGGCAGGTCGCAGGTTCTTCCTGGAGCAGCCCAGAGGTGCCAGGTCCTGGAAGCTCGAGGCCATGAGGTTTCTCGCTCAGATCAGAGGAGTGTCCACAGTCGATTTCGACATGTGTGCTTTCGGGCTGACAGTGCATGCGTCCGATCGGTTGTCCCTCAAGCCCACACGGATCATCACGAACGATCCGCACGTGCTCGAGGCCATGCAAGGCAGACGCTGCACGAGGTCACACGAGCACGCAGTCCTGGAGGGGAGCACCATGACGAGGAAGGCAGCCGTATACCCTCCCAGGCTGTGCTCGGCCCTGGCCAGGGCAGCACAGCGATCGTGGATCCATGCAGCCTCAGCCTCACCCTCATTTCCAGCAGCAGAGGCAGAGGAGGAGGAGGAGGAGGAGGCAGTCGAGGACCC